ACTCACCCAAGGATGAAGAAACGGCCTCCTCAACTTTTAGTTCGCCCCACATGTTAATTCCTCCGAGGTACGTGCATGTCTCGCCTCTTAACTTTACCTTCCCACACTCATATAAGCGCACGCAACGATTACGAACACTCGACTTTTAAATGCCTTTAATTGCTTGTGCGGTTCACTTCTTTCAACCGTGGTGCAGAGTCAAAATTTCGGACTTGAAGGTGGCCGCAACGACCAGTACGTTGATAACGCTCAGTGGTGACGGTCCTGACTCTCCCTGATGGAGACAATTAGCACTAGACCGAGCAGGCGCCCCAGATCAGCATGGTCGGGGCCCGTAGTAACAGTCGCGCTTAAAGTGGCGACTGACCCGATGTCTCGTGACCATTACGGAAAGCGGGGCAATCCCGATCGGAGCACTCCCTACAACGACGTCCTGCCCAACTGCTCCCCAAGGACGATAGGAAGAGCAGAGTCTGAATGAATCCTCCGCTAAGATTCAGTAGTATACATCGCTCCTTCTTCGTGAGTCTGTAACGACAGTTTAATGATAGCATGGGTACGTACCGGCCAGCATGGTAAGTCCCCAACCTCTCGGTTAACCCCCACGTTACTCCCTTCGAACGAACAGGCAAAACAAAACGTGATGAATCTTCCGCTAGGACACGAAAGTGTACACGAGTAACCTGATGTCGTCCTTCCGGGCGCAGCCTGTGACGCTAAATTCGGCTAAACCACTCATCTATAAACAAAACTAACATTACCGTCGTACTCGCAACGCCCAAAAACTCCCTCGTAGACTCCTCTTTCTCTTAATCTGAAAGAAACAAACGAGTTAACGTTCCTTCTTTTCGCCATACCCGTCACCACATCCAACAGAAAAATTTCCAAAAATTAAATAATCATTATAGAGTAAAACTACATTATAAATTCTAAATTTTCATTCCATCTTAAAAAATGTCATTCCAATTTTAAAAATTTTCGTCTTACTTGAAAAATTTCCTTCCAAAAATAGGGTATCCCTTCTTATTTGAACTGCACGCTAAAGATGGAATGAAAGTCTGGATGAGTTCATGAAATATTTTAATTGAACTGTCATTCTAAGTAAGGATCTTCAGTCATAAATAGGTTAATCCAATCTAAATTAGACGATATTTGTTGTAGTAGAATGAAAGTCTAATTAAAACATTTCATAAACTCGTTCAGACTTTCATTCCATCTTGAACAAATAGATGTAGTTGGAAGGGAAAACTCATATTTAGACGGGAACTTGTCAAATTAAATTGGAAATTTTAGAATTTGACAAACATTGGAATGATAATTTATAAATATGAAGGATTTCTTTTAATGGAATGTTTTTTCAACTTTCATTTCTCATAGCAATTTTTATGTTGTCCTCCCTCCTGCGCAACCCTTTCCTTACTAACCTTCTTTCCATTAACCTTACTACCAGATCTGACTACAAAATCCGGGTTGTCTGCCTCGGAAGACCCGGATTCGAATCTTCTTCTGCCTGTTTTCGTCGAGAAATAGGGAAGATTAACGATCTTCACCCCTACTCTTTCTCCCTCATTGCTATCTCTGCACAACTGGTTTTCTCTCTAGCCCCTTTATCTACCAATTTATTATTAAAACTAATGCTACTACTAAACTCGCCCTGGCCAAAAACACCTACTTACCATCCCTTCACGCCCGTTTCTATCAAGGAGTAGGTGAGTTATAGTTTCCTTTCTCCGCCTAGCTTGCCATCTCCAATCTCTTCCTTGCTTCTCCCGTACCTAGCGCAGTTTTTCTACCCACGTTATCGTCCGTGGTACCCCGCTCAGTATAAGCTCTATGATCCCGTAGCAGGTTGTCCGACCACTCCACCTGCCTCTGAGAACTTCGAAGAGGAAAAGGAAATCGGTTATTAGCCGGCCTGACTAACCCTTTGCCTTTATACGTAAGTCAGACGAACAAGTTTGCGCACTGATATCGATGCGGGGCCCCGCCTGAGCCTTCTCGCCCAACCCACTTCGATGTATTAAGCGCGAACTCTGACCTCTTTCGATGGCTGGGTTCAAACACACGTGGCTTGTTGTGTGCAAGCCTGCCCTTTCGCACGGGCCACTATAGTCTTCCCTATACTGCTCTAAGCCTAGCGTATGTCCCGTGGTACCTCACGCGGGACTCTATCCCGAAATATCATCGTCGGGCTCAAGTGATTAAGGTACATTCGCTTTTACTCATCAAGATCCATCATTTGGTCCTGATCCGCGGGTCCGCATTCCAATGGTTCATAGGTGTATCCACTGGGCCATGCCCTCGGATTCACGATCGGTCTCAAACCCAGTACTGCCCCCCAATGGTTCTAACTAAAAGAAAAAAATAAAATAACAATAAAATTAGAGCAAAACCCAAAAAGTAAGTGGGAATGCTGGCGGAAAAATAGGCCGCGGGACCTACCGGCACTCCCTTGGTTTTGCAAGGCGGGCCCACGATCGGACTCCCCCACAAAACTAAGGGGGATAGTCCCGCAGGACCCTTAACCCCTTAGCTGCTCCAACGCTCCATTGCTCCTGCGCCATCGCCCGCTGGCCTCAATCCTCGCACCTCCGTGTCACAAGTCCAATGCCGTAACCTATAGGGCTAAGCCCAAGCCTGAGACCAGCGCGCGCGGAATCCCATTGAAACACTGCAGCACTATGCCCATAGATGAGAAAACGGCATGAAATCCTCCCTTCTTGCGACCAAGCCCGACCGCTAGACGTCCACGCCGGCCTGCTCAAACTTTGCTACGGCCACAACACGCGCCATTCAGCCCACCAAAACCTATTGCTAGTCGGACATGCCGGACAGAAGGCAAAGACTTTGAAATCCTTACCTTAATCAGTAAATAAGAACCAGGCTGGCCGACTATGCCGACCTCATGAACAACACAAAGGGAAAAATCACACGTGCGCCTTAAAACTGCACGCCCACACATTGACTTTAAACCAAATTTATTTTCTGTCATTTGCAAAAACCAGGGCGGATACCCGTGTAAGGGTATTCGCACCGACACCGTCTTCTAAAAACAGGGAGGTAAGGCACAACAAAACAGGCGTTTTGCAAGAGGCAACTTTTACGATTTTCTCTGATCGGATGAATCCGCAGAAAAATCTGAAATTTTGAGAATCTATAGATGAGGTCGTGTTCCACAAAAAATATCAGAAGATTTTAAAAAAATCATTTAAACCGTGAAATAATTGTTACGCCGATTCGACATATTTTACATTTTTGCCACTTAGCCATGTGTGGGCCAACTGAAAGAGTACTCCAAATTCAACGAGTTTTCATGCTCATAAGTGTGCGTGAAAAAACCTGAAAATTGGAGCACTCGTAGATTTTGTTGTCATCTTTCCAGGAAAAATGTTGAATAGAATTAAAAAAAATCATTCCAACTGTGAAATAGATCGCTGCCGCAATTTGACCCATATTTCAATTTTGCCATTCA